AAGCCAAACATGAGAAGGGCATCTCTATTTAAATAAAGTTCACAATTAATCTATGGTGTTTCAGGTCAGGACTGGGGTCACCCCTGGGTAAAGGGACTGTGAGGGGCATGAAGGGGGCTTCAAGGGGGCCTGTATGTTCTATCTCTTGATCTGCTGCTGGTTACATGGGTGTGCTCACCTTGTGAAAAATCCACTGAGCTATATATCCTTACAATCTGTACAGTTTTCTGTATGCGTGCTACACTGCAATAAAACGTTTACTTAAAGATGTGCTGTTACGGATACAAGAGAAAATATACTTAATGACATAAGCGAAATCTATCCCCTACATTACTAAGTGGATCCTGTGAAACAGAAGCCATGCCTGTAACCACTAGGCCAAACATTCCTGAAGACGGTGGTGTCTCATGGGAGTGGCCATTGGAACCACCTGGAACCTCGTTCTCCCTTTCCTTCCACTGCCTCCAGGCCCCAGCTCTTTGCTCCTCCAGATCTGCAGGTTCCTAAGTGATAACTCAACACCCCAACACCAGGTTCTCCCCTCACTACCATCGGCCTTACTGAGCATCTTCCAGAAACCTTTATTGGTCACCTTCTGTATACAGGGCACAGTGTACAGGCACTAGGACAAGAAGCAGCATAGGAGGCAGGAGCTGCCTCAGGGTTTGCGAGTATGTCTGTATAAAATAAGTGTCCTGACACGTATTTCATTTGAAATATGCACGTGTTTTTTACATATGTATTTTGCAAATATAGGTAATGTAGGTTATGCTGGGTGTCAAAAAAGGGGGTATAAATACCAAAGGTTATTTGGACTTAGATGCAGCTGGGGCATCGGGGAGAGTCTCAAGGAAGACCTAATCTCTTAATCTTTTAAAAAGGGTAGGAATGGAGAGACATCAAGTATAATGTGTCTCCTGATGTGATGCCACAGGTAGAACACAACATCATCTAGAAGATGTTCTAGTCATAAATGCTTAATTTATCAAGGCCTTAGAACTAAATTCCAGTTTATAGGAAAGAGAGGCTAGAGAAATAAGATAAAACGACATCATGAGGCACTGACCAGACAAATCCAGAATGCAGGACATTCTGCAGAATAAGAGGCTAGGTTTATTTCAAGCAGTCAGGGTCATAAAAAATGACCTTTCTAGGTAAAAGAAAAGTGAGGACATGGTCACTGTCTGCAGTACATGTCGCTAGATTGGATTCTGGTTTGGATAACTTGCCGCAAAGGACATTTTTGAAACAACTGAAGACATCTGAGTATGGGCTGGATGAAGATGATACTGTCAGAGGGGGAAGGACAGTGGAGCCAGGAAAGGGCGAGGGCAGGGGAGGGGGAGGGATGGGCAGGGCCAGGACAGGGCCAAGGGCAGGGCAAAGGGTGTAGAGTGAGGGCAGAGTGAGGCGGGGACAACAGAGGGCGAGGGGAGGAGAGGAATGCAGAGCAAGGACAGGGCCAGGGGGACAAAGGGAGGGCAGGGCAAGGCAGCTGGTGGCAGCAGCAGCATCGGTGGCCAGTGACGGCAGCAGGGATCCTGCAGGCCTGGAAGCCTTTGGTGACAAATCAGGCTCCTGGGTGGGTCTTCAGATGGTGGGCACCCAGCTCCACCTCATCCTTACGCTGACTCCTCATCAACAGCAGACGGTCTCCCCTCCTGGCCTCTCCCACCCTGGAGAAGCGTAGATTCTGGCCTTCGTCTCACTGGCTGGAGTGTTTCTGTGTGCCTGTCCACTCTGCTACCTGACCAACCCCTGGACTCGTGCACACTGGTGGCTGGTGACCCAGGTCCTGCTACTTCTCTAGGGTGACCCTGGAGCTCCCCTCCTTCCCTGAGGGCCGCCCAGGGCCCTGCTGGGGGCCTTGACCTCTCACCAACAGGGCCACCTCTTTCCTCTCTTTGCCTGCCCTCCTCACGTTCCTTTTCCCCGTCCACAACCTTCTTTCTTCCTACTACTTTCTTGCCACTTACTAGCTGGTAACCTTGGCAATGACTTAACCGCTCTATGCCTACAGTTCCCACGCTGTAACCCAGGGATGACAACAGTACCTACTTCACTGAGTCGTGGGGATTAGCTGACCTGCTTAGACCAGCACCAGCGCAGAGTAGCTGCTAGGTATCCGCTATCATTGTCAAGCTTCGCTTTCATCTGGACCCAAGAGCACAGCCTCCCTGGCCCCAGACACCTGGTCGTTCTAAGGAGAGGATCCCTGGGGACCGGAAGCAGAAGCCCAAACATGAGGACTGTAAAAGCCTTTACACGTGTTGAGGGTAAAGACTCAAAAACAGAAGCCGGAGTCTTACCCGGATAATTAGGACTAAAACATCACCTTGTTTATGGGACAAAGTTCTCATGAGTTTTATGACCGTGGAAAATATTTTGAAGTACAAATATCCACTGAAGAATCAAGACTGGTGCCTTTCCAGATGGCCAACAGCTTAAAGATGTGCTCTAGCTCTGCCAGGCTTATTTGTAAGGACACTAATTATCTTATTAGAAATAGGTTCCTTTCATGATGACGATTAGCTTGCTTTTTATTTTTTAAAATTCTGGGAAAAGAACATATGCATATTTCATCCCTGGCCAAAGGAAACCTCTGGCTTTTCCAGAGCAGAAACGCCCTAGCCCACTGAGCATTACTCTCAAGTCACACTCTCCCTCCCACCAGAAACATAAGAGTGAAACTGTGTTTGAATTTTGGTGTGGGTTAAAATTATTTTGTTCGGAGAATTGTGCAGCCGTCCCTGAGACAGACGCGCAGCTATGGTGGCGCTCTACATGCGCGCAGCCCTGCGGTAGAGATGTCACAGGCTCCGTGCAGGGCTTCACAGCTGCACCTGCCAGGGGAAATCTCACGCTCCATCCTCAAGGCAGGAAGGTTGGATTTAATGCAGCTAAAGCCAAGGGAGGATGTAACAGCACTTTAAACACTCAAGTCAAATCCGAAGAAAAATTGTATAAATTTTCTGTGTTTTTGGACGCAAGGTCGGAAAACAGGGTAACAGGGAAGAGTGGAGGAGATGAACTCAGCCTTGGTAGCCAAAGCCATAATGTGTAGGGAGACAATAAATGGCACTGTGAACTTTCAAGGTGACCTCTCTTGGGGCTCAGCTTGCCCCTATCACGCGCGGGCAGTAGAGCCAAAGAGAAAACTTCCCTTTTGACGCCCACATCTCCTAAGGGGGGAAAATTACCAGTGGCCACCTGTGTAGCGGCTACCTCCAGCACCCCTCGGCACATCTTTAAGATGTCAGCACAACTAACGATCAGTTTCCCAGGGAGAAATGTAAAACTCTGCACAGCCACTGAGAGCCTCTATGGGCACCAAGAGGACATAAAAGGAGCCGATGGTGTCACGACCCAAGATGGGTGATGGGGTGTCCCTGCAGGAAGCAGGGGGTGAAGAGTTCCTCCCTGGTCTCCCCTAATGCCACTGAATGAGGGCTGTAAACATCTGCCCCAAGCAGATGCCACTGTGTTTACAGTGCATCTCAAAACAGACTGTGACCATCCCAGCTTCAGGGAACTCTGCAGGCACCCAGGGCAGGCTCTTTGTGCAGGGGAGGTTACTGACTTGCCGCCAGAGAACGGAATTAACTCTTCATTCGCTATATTAATGAAATGTATACTCCAGCATCGCACTGTCCAATACACTAGCCATTAGCTACATACGGTTATTTAAATTTAAATTAATGAAAATTAAATAAATTAAAAATTCAGTTCCTTAGTCATAATAGCTACATTTCAAGTGGTCAGTAGTCACATGTGGCTGGTGGCTACCATACTGGACAGCACAGATATAGAACCTTCCCATCATCACAGAAAGTTCTACTGGATAGCGCTGCTCTAGATGTATTCTTAATGAGCCAGTCACCTCTCTCATGTCATTCATCCATGCCACAAATGGCCATGGCCCACTATACTATATAAGGCCTACTGCTATATTAACATGTTGACATTAGATACCGCTATTTAGAGAGTAACAAGGGACTTGCATCCAAAATTAAGACCAGTTCATGCTGTACAATGTTCTAAGGCTTTGGATGATTTAAAGTGTATTAATTCAGAATTAAGACCGATGTCTCTTCTAAGGATGTTTGCTGGCATTTCAACGTCGCAAATAACATAGAATCCAAATCCTGTTCCTGAAACTGCTTATTCTTAGAGAGAAAACTGCTCAACCACCACCACACAGTATTGTCGAAGCCCCGCGCCAGGTTTCGCTAGGATCAACGAATTTGGTGTTATGTTTCACTTACTCAGGAATCCTGCTGACTGGCAGCCCTCAGAATCCGCACTTGTTGGTGTGTTGGCCCCACTCCCCAATTTGCCTCCTAGCTTTGAGGCACCCTAGTGACTCAACTTGCCTTTGTGTTGACATGAAAACCCTTTCTTGGCTTGACACTTCCCCACTTTGGGCAGACTTTCTCTCTGCCTTAGAAAAGCTGACATCAACAGTGCTACTCCATGCAGCAAATCCTCAGAGATAACCCATTCTTGGGGAGGGGCACTGGGTGCAGGAGACCCAGGAACACTGTGTGTCCCCATGGAGCCTACAGAAACCAGGCTGTTCAATTCACTTCTCTGCTGTTAATTCCAAGGTGCTGCTGCTGCTACTTCAAACTGTAATAGTGTCTACAAACAATTTGCACTTTCGGAGCAGCAGGATCCCAGGGGCTAATTAACAAACCCGGGGGAATAATCTTTTTAAAAGCCTTTAAAAGCAACACAGATTGAGGCCACCATCAATGAAACAGAATCACTCCCCCTTCTCTGTCATTTTAGAAGATACCTGGCTGACTCCTAGAGAGGTTTAGAGAGCATAGGTGGTGGGCTTTATGGAAAACGCCTCACCATGTGTTAATTAGAAATTAAATGCAGCATGTTATCAGCTGCAGAGCTTTCTGAATGGGGCGGGCTCTGGAGATGGACTAAGATGACAACAGTGAGAAGCAGAGTTCGTAAGGGGCACAAGAGGGCTGTGACTTCCATACCGTTGACCATGCCAAGGTAGAAGACCGCGTTCACCAGTGTGCCTCCTTTCCGGAAGTGGTCGCTCATGTGCTCCAACCAGTTGGCGTCCAACCCACTCACGGTCTGGCCATTCTTGGAGACCCGGAGAGGGATGGTGACAGGATAGTACTGCCGGCACTTCTGATGGCTCTTCGGTTTGTTGAAAAGGGTGAAGATCTCCATTTCTGTTGAGATTTGAAAGGGGGTGGAGAGAGAAGAGGTCAAACGGTGATAAAAATCCACCTCATCGGGTCTAGTGGAATCTCTTAGGAGCCTGAAGAAATGGTATCAAAGGTAAAATCTCTGTTAGGTCGCACTGTTGCCAAATAATAAAACTGGATTCCAAATACTAAGTTAGGGTGCCTTGAAAGTGGCATGGACCTCAAAGGTTGAGCTTCAAGTCGGGGACTTAGGTTTTGAATCTGGCATATAATAAATAGCTGTGATCTGGGATTAATTTGTACAGTTAGGTGTTTAAGAAAAGGACATAGTAGACATTTCTAGAAATTTACACAAAGATGTGTTTTCAAAGAAAAAACAGACATATTTGGGTGAGAGCTGGTCTTAAAAAAAAAGTAAATGTACAGAGGCACATAAAAACAAAAATACTGCTGTAATTCCAGGAACCTTGGACACCCTCAAACTCACTATTTATAAACTGCAGTGGTGTTTCCTGGGGCTGAACCCATAATACTTAATTAAGCACATCAAAAATACATCATTGATATGTAAAAATAAATATGTTCCAGTAAACGAGGGTTCCTGCCTGCAGTGGTAGGTCGCTCCAACAGCCAAGCAGGCGCTGGGAGCGAGGCGCCGAGCTTTCCCTTCCGTCATTTATAGCTCGGTTCTTCAAAAATCAATACCCACTACCACCCGGCAGCTGACCCGCGCCTGCCATACGTGCTGCCGGCCATGAGTGAGCAGAATCGGCCTCTGGGAGCAAATACCTGGAATTTCAATCTAAGTCTGAAGGTCTATTTTTGTGCTACTCATTTAGTCAAGCAATCAGAGTTCCCCCAGCTTAAAAAGCCTTGCTTACACAGGCTAGTCAGGAATATGCTTTGGTTTATAAAAATATCTATTTGGATAATAAAAAAATCCCCACCCCTCTTTCAAAGAAATATTTTAAAGGTCATAAACAATGGCTGACATTAGCAAAAAGGACAAAGTACATTCGTGCTCCCTGTGGGAGACACCTGACCTAGACCCACATGTGGGGACGCTGTCTCCCATATTTCAGTATTGCGCAATTTTTGGAGTATTCAAATGCTAGCTGAATTATTACTTTTAAAAATGGACCCACTTTCCTTTATGTAAATAAATGCATTTAAAAAGGAGACTTTGCTTCATGACCATAAGGGAAACAAAACTATCATGTGCCATATACAGGAGGGAACCATGAGGCACATTAACACCAAATATGTGCATCCAAGTAACATCTAAAATTCTCTCACATAGGTATTGCATTCTGGGACAAAAGAAGTCTTTCCTACAGCCCCATCTGAGCAAGCATCAGCAGAGATCTCTGGGGAGCAATGCTGGGCCATGAGACTTTGTCATCAGCAACAGTGAAGCTAACAGGGAGCCATTTCAAGCTATCCACTGGATAGAACCAATTAGGAAAGGAAGGTGCCCATTTCACAAGTGGCCACGTGGATTTCAAACAACCAACTTTGGCCTATTCATCATCCCCACCCCCAATTATCTTTCTCAGTCCATTTGCCAGTAAATGCTTTCACATGAGAAATTAGGTCTTGGTGTACGGAGCTGGCAATCACTAGATTTTGTGACTTTGAAATACAAACGTTAGGAATGGAGTCATGCAGAGAAAGGTTCATAATGGAGGGGAATCAAGCAATGGATTGGAGCTGGGAGGACAGGAAGTGATCGGGCCTTTTCCAATCCTAGGCGCCAGGGGTTCAAATAAAAGCCACAGCTACTAAAGTCAAGAGGATGAGCAATGCTTTAGTGAGTCCTTGACTTCATTTGGATTTCTTCAAAAGCAGACCCTTTAAAAGTTTTGGGTGCAAGTAGTTTATTTGGGAAGTGATCCCAGGAAACAGAGTGAGGGAGTAGGGATGGAAAACAGGGAAGAGACGAAAGCCAGTGGAAGGGGCATTAACGAGCAGGTTACTGCTACGGCAATTGGGGCCCCTGAGACACCGTACAGAACACACCACAGGTTGCCCTACTGAGGGGCAAGGAAACTGGGGCATTTACCCTCAGGGACTGAGGGCCACTCCTCAGGCAATTTCTGGGGCATCTGGCCTGCGGGTGTGTTCCCACTCCAGAGAACACCTGCAGGCAGACACTAAGAAAGCTGTCCTCAGCTGTTAGCTTGGCCCAAGGTGGGCCAGAGGACCAGTCGCCGTGGTCTGCTATAGTCAAGATCAAATGCATATGAATTAAAAAGAAAAAGAAATCACAACCTCTACGTGGGAGAAGTGAGTGGGGAATTTGGAAGTGGCCAAAGTCCAAAAATGCATGACAACACTAGATCACACAGAAGGATTCCACTCACATGGCAAGACAAAAACACAACTTTCCCAAATGCATAAGGAAACAGAAAAAGGGGAAGGCCAAAAGGAGAAGCGAGAACGCTGGGCGTGGGGTGGAGGGAGACAGACCAGAGATAAGGTGGACGCTGCGGTGCTGACAGCGCCCCGGCTTTCCCGCTGGATCCTCCCCAGGGGGAGGACCGAAGCCAGAGACAGAAATAAATTTTCCAGGAAGGAAAGGAAATGCTGTTGGAATCAAGAGCCTCCAAGCATTAGCAGTGATAAAATATTGGGAGAAACCTGATTTCAGAAGCGTAACCCTTTAGTCAACTCCCATGCCCCTTGTCTCCTCCACCATGATCCTCTCTACTCACATGGAAACCAGCCAAGAGAAACTGTCCCAAAATGATGCTCTTTGATGTTTTAATATTCTGATTCTCCAACACATCGTCACATGAGCAGGCACCAGGGATGCCAAAAAGAAGCCCTGTGTTTGTTTAAATTTTCTCAGATGCTCTGTGACTCTGCCATGACCCCAGTTGGAAGATTTTTCCAGACATGGGACAGAAAGTCCCAAGGGAGAGGGGAAGGCATTGTTTCTAAGAATGTTCTGAGAACAGCTGAAGAACTGGCCTGGCAGAGCACCCCAGGAGCATCAAGATTGTCTTTTCCTTTATTTCTATTTCTGTCTTCTTGTCTTTCTCTTTCCCCCAACAGGAGGGGCCCTGCCTTGTGCCATTTAGACCCCTGTGTTCAGAAAAGTCCCTGTGATATGGGAGGTGCTGCGAACATGTTTGCTGGATTGACCTAAGTCAGATGAGTGTGGGAAGCTGGGGGAGGAAGAAGGGGCATGGGGCTCACTGGGTGCTGCCGGCCTGATAGCCAGGTCCACTCAGGCCTTGCTAAGCTCCTCGGGAGTGGGAAGGAAAGACGCAGATGCCCAGCTATGAGGCCCGTGCCAGGCAGGAGGGACTTAGGCACAGGATGGAAGTCTGCAGTCTGTCTGCAGGTATGGCCCCAGAGAGCCCGTGATGGGCAGGTAGCAGGCGAGCTGGTTGGGTCCTGGTGTCCCAGGAGACCTCCAGGCTGGAGGGAAGAGAGGGCTCAGAGTCTGGATTAAAGCATGGGGCTCCAAGGGCTAGACTGGGAGAAGGAGAAAGCTGGCGAGTTAGCTGGGTGGGAAGGAACAAGTGGGAGTCAGACTTGGCCTGGTAGCTGGACTGAATTGGGGCTAAGGTCTGCTGAGGTCATGGGCAAGGGAGCTCAGAGGAAAGGTTTGCACTCAGAAGGCAGGGCTGTGGGCGCCATGGTGGGAAGAGAGGGCCTCGGGCCTGTCCAGATTCCTGAATCTGGGAAAAGTCTGCTTCAGGCTTCGATCAGGCTCGGGTACTAGTAGCAGGGCCCCTCCGGGCCTGGGCGAGGCCTGTTTGCCAGAGCAAAGTGTGGGAACCACTGCACGCACAGCAATCCACGGGAATCCACTTGTAAGGATGACAGCAGCCATAGGTACACGTCCTGTACTTACAAACGCCATTCACCTTCACCATCTCACGTGACTCTCCCAACCTTCACGGGAGGGGCTGCATCAGTTCTGTGCCCAGAAGCCTTAAGTGGATCCCCCAGAAATCACAAGCTAAGTGGCAAAGCCAAGAGTCTTTCAAACCCTGAACCCTGGGCTGTTTCCCAAATCTAACAAGAGGCTAATTTCATCAACACACAGAAGCAGGAGCTGATGACCACGTGGGAGTTCAGTACCTGTGTGTTAATGGACTGAGTGCAAGGCCAGAAAGATGGTGGCAGGTGGCAGATTTGGGAGGGGGCGGAACCACGGGGTAGAACCATCCTGGGAGTGCAGCGAGGGGAGGATACTGGCCCAGTGATGGAAGGGGGGCCACACATCAGGAAAGCAAGACTCAGGAGGGCACCTCCTCTCTCTCCTCCACAATGAGCTGGCTGCCAAGGAGGCTACGGAACAAAGTCCCCTTGGCTGAGCAGTACTATTGAGATCATTGGCTTGGGTTTCTGGCTGACATTTCTAAGCGTCTTAAGTGAGTAGGTGTGGGGTAGGAAGGGCAGCACTTGGAAGACTTTTTATTATTTTTCTGGTGACAGTGAGAACAATTTGAATTTGCGTGACCCCCTCTGGCCTCCTTGTTTCTCTCATCGAGGTTGCAGCTACAGAGACGCTGAAGGAAGGACAAGACAGATTGGAATGTTGGAGGCCAGGAGAGAAGTGACAGTGGACACCCGGCGACCCCTTCCTAACCTTTCCTTGCCCTGGCCTGTTCACGACATATGAAGAAAGCAAGCTCCTCATCGACAGAAATGCATCACAAGGGGCCGTTCGTGCTCTTCTGAGCGGAGCTGCTGGGGCCGTTCTTGCGCATGATGAGGCAGGGGCACGGGGCTTTCCCTGCAGCAGCTCAGGTGATCTCTGCACAGCGTGGACAACAAACCAATAGAAGATTCCCCAGGAGGAGGAAATACAAGTCAATGAACAGGAAGAAAACCACATGATGGGCCTCCCAAGGGGCCTGCGTGGGCAAAGGGGGCATAACCTCTGGACCAGAGCAGCCCCAGAGCCCACGGGGATTGGGGGGAACCTGCCCCGTTTCCAGATGGAGAATTCACTGGCAAGCCCCATCTGAGCAGTCGCAGCCTAGACTCCGAGGCCCCCCAGGCCTCCTATAAAGGAAATAAATTAAACGAGGAGAGGAAGGGGAGGAGGGAGACTCCCTCTGGATTTTTTTTAATTGTCTTGCTGTGATTGCCTATTTAAGCCCACCTGGCAGAAAGAGGAGTAAAAACACTTCACCATCCTTAGGGGGCCCTGAGAGAAAGGCAAGCTGAAAGCTTAGCGAGCAGCAGGGAGGGGACACTGGGGGTGGGGTGGTGATGGTGCATGGACTTCCCAGGGAAGGAAACCATGAGACTTCCTAGGAAAAAGATTAGGAGGGAAGCTGGGGTTAGGTGAGGGCCATGACCAGTGGGGACAGGGTCCCTGGACGTTCGGCCTTCAGGGAGGCTGAGTGCTCAAGTTATGAGATAAAACTTAACTCTATGAGGGCATGCAAGGTGACTTTCCTTATCTGTGAAATGGGCGTAATAAGAGCATCTTCTGTCACACAGCCACTGTAAGGCGTGTTCAAGATGACACATGGGAAGAGCTTGCCACGATCATGACTGTCGTCTGTCCATCCCCCGCCAGGCCATGCATGTGCACTAGTAACCCCTGTGTGTGCATTAAGTGACGAAAAAAATCCAAAGACCCATTTATTCCACAAAAAGAGGAATAAAGGATAACAGTGAGCTGCCTAAATTTCAGAGAGACCTGTGGCCTCCTGAGCAGAGAGATAAGGGCCAGCCTCATAAGTAGACAATAGCTGCCTATCTAGTGAGATGGGTGGGGGTACTGTGACACCCTCCACAGCTGAGGGCTAACCGCCTCCAGAAACACACACATTACTTCATTATTCCCCAGGAGGAGGAATGAATCTTGGAGATGAAGGAATCCTGGAGAAAGATGGATTCTGAAACATGGGAAGTATCTGAAAACTCCCGAGGGAAACCTCGGTATTAACTGCCTCCTTTCTCAAAGCCAGGCTTCCATGCGGAGGTGGAGGTCAACAATCAGGACCACTGAGCCTGTACCCCAATAATAACAGCTCGCACTTATGAATGAGCCGTGCTGAGTGCTTTAAACGTACATCTCACTTAAGCTGTCAACAAGAAACTATTTTTTATCCCTATTTTACAGGGTAAGAAACTGAGATACAGAAGGGTGTCTTGCTCAGGACTGCCTAGCCAGAAGGTGGCACACTGGAATGTAAACCGAGTCTGGGTTCTTAACCACTGCACTACCTGCCTCTCCACGACTCCTGCCCTGAACCCTCACCCTCCCACAATCCCGGATGGTAGAGAAGGGCTCTAAGGAGGCCCGTCTTCCTTCTCAGGATTCTGAGCACACACCCAGCCCAACAGCAATGAGAAGATGGAAGTTTCTAGAACAAGACTTGGACATTCACCAGGAGGCACACACAGGGTCTAAATGTGCTCTCAGCTCCTCTGGACGGAGCAGAAGTCTACCTCCAGCAGTGTGAAAAGTCCCACAAATGAAGAGCTCCACTTCAGTACCCATTTAAGAAGGATCCAGGCCTTGATTAAACAATAGTCCTAACATATCCCAGCACTGAGGGGGCACCAATCTCTCCCTCTAAATCAACTCTGCAAATAAGCCCCAAAATGAACCATCCCACAATTTTCTTTTCAGGAAGTAATGACATAACGAAAGAAACAATTTCACCTTCTTTTCTATTCTCAGAGCCTTAACTGTTCCTCATCATTTATAAGAGGCTAATTTCAAGAGAGAATAAATAATAACATTAACCAGGGAGGTGATCAAGAAAGGCCTATAGAGAAAGGCTTCCTATGGCCTGGCGGTCTCCTCCTGTCAGTCCTGTTACTTATCCACCTTCCAAAGGCCAGAAGAGGCCCAAGCTCATCTACTAGCCGGCTCTCGGGAAATGGCTGGACGCTAGATTTCCTGAAGAAAGAAAAGGAAAGGGAATTATGGGGAATGAAGAGAAACTTCACTCCCTGTAAACTGAGGGCCTCAGTAAATCTCGTTAGTCTATTTGGGTATTACACAGGACAGACCAGGTAGAGAGGTGTAACAGATGGTGGTTCAGCCCGCCTGGGGTCACCTGCCAGATCTGCCAATTTCCAGCCTGGTCAACAGGTTTACTCTCTAAACCTCAGTTAACTCCGCTCTAAAACGGGCAATGACAGAGCTCACCAACATCTGAGATCTATTGGGAGAATGAAGAGATCAGTCGTATAAAATGCTTATGGCCACAGGGCCTGCTACACAGGAAGTATTAACAAATGTCGGCTATTATCATCCTGGTCGTGTTCTTATCTGAAATTCCCAACCTGAGGCGCAGGCTCTGATGGCCATTACAACGTGATTAGGAGGATTCATAAATTGGTGGCCTCTCCTTGGCAGAGTGTTCTCTCCACGGTGCTGATCTGTCAACTATATGAACTCCCTGAAATCTGGTTGTTTACAGCCTAGTGATCTGAATCACCAGATTCCTGCACAATTTGTCCTCAACTGGCTTTCTTGATTTCTTTCTTTAGGCAGATATTCAAAATAAGCAGACCAGAAGTGGAATGTACATTCTGCAATGGTGCCCCGGCATGTTAACACTTCCTGTGTTAGAGCAGGGTCATTCAGGGGCAGCGCAAGAGCACAGGGGATGAAATAACTCGCGTTCTAGAATCCACTTCAAACGTGACATTTCGAAGCAATTGCAGGTCAATTTCATGTGGTTCTGCTGCCTGTAAGCCACAAATTCAGTGAGTAAACAGTCAGAAGGCCCAGAGAAACTGCTTGATAAAGTTTCTCCAGTTTGATGAACTGCTGTCTCTACACTCCAATTCCATTTCTTTTTCCTAAAATGCCATAGGGATTACTGAAAAGCTGTTAGTCTCTCTTTAACCAGGTCAAAAGTCCCGGCACTGACATACTTACTTCCCGAGAGTGGCTCTTCATGCACTTCTGAGGGGTCACCATCCTGTCTGTCCAGAGTCTTGCTCACCCCGCTTGGTGAAAATCCTGCGCCATCTCCCTCTCCCGCGGGCAAGCTGGGTTGCTTGGCGACGGGTGCCTCCCCTCCTGGGCCCTGGCTGGGCTCTGGGCTTCTGTCCATCCCTGCTGGAGCACTGCACACGTCCGTAGCCCCCAGGCTCTCCTTCTCCCCACACCCGCCCGGCTCCTTTTTCACATCTCTGGCATCCCCCGGGGGGCTGCTCCCTGTAGGGCTGTGGTACTGAGGTATGACACCGACGAATTTCAGGCCCCGACTCGCAGCCTCCTGGATCTGTGAGGCAAACAAAAGGAAGGGAATCAAGTGAATGGGATGTTCTATCAGAGGGTGGGGGGGGGGGACACACATGCAACATTCAAAATGCCTCATTGGAGGCCTCTGAGGATATTTCAGTTTGAACATGAAATGTATCAGGCTGGCAGAGGCTCCATGTCCTCAAGGCAGTGTCCACACCCTAACCCTGGCCCAACTGGGGACAGACAGCATGGGGCTTGTTGTTGTTAACTACGAAAAAATAAAGACTTGGCTATGAAGGGCTGGGATTACCTCTCTTTGAACACTGCCTTCGTCCCTATTAGTTGTTTTTTATTGAGAGGCTGGAAAAAGGTTCTAAAAAGATGAGCTGGAACAAAGAGCATTTGAAAGAGGAAGTTCATCTTGGTAAGAGTTTATTTTTTCATTTTTTGTTCTGATGAATCACCTACTTCCTGCCAATCAGGCTACCGTATAATACAGCATGTCTATATAACCATACACTAACTACCAGATGACATTTTATGACCCAAAGAGCTTCCTCTTTGAAATAATTGTTTTGGCACAGAAGGGCAGAGGTGGGGAAAACCATTGCCATGTGAAAGCCGATGCGCACACTCCCCGCCAGAGGGGAATCTGAGGGACACCTGCTCGCGGGACTCTCAGTCCGAGGCGAAGCCAAAGGAGCCGGAAGACCTCGCCCGGCCCACACGCATAGCTCGGGCAGACTCATGACTCTCCAGGCCATGGTGCACACCATCTGGTCTAGGTGACAGGTAACTTCCCAAGCCCACAAGATGGAAGACTAACGCAGTCCTCCACACAGAGGACTGCGGCACTTTAATCCTCCCCTCCCTAAAAAATACTCCCAGGCAACTGAACCTAATAGTCATAAGTGAAAGAAAAACTGAAAGTAATAGCCTAATAAAATCAAGCAAGAGCCAGCCCAAACTAGAGGATGGGCTGTAGCAGACTCTCTGGGCAAGGACGCCCAAGTCACTTTACAAATAAATGGGGAAGTAGAGACCTCAGAGCTGTCTAAGTCTTAGTCACCAACCCCTCGGTGGATGACCTCAGAAAATGAGGCCTCTGCAGTGATCACCTCCTGTCATCTGACAATTAGTAAGACACACCAGTATGGAGTACTCCCTCTGAGGGAGAAGCAAGCCTTGGCAGCCCTCCTAGGAGGAACCACCCTAACTTTAAGCAGAAAGTCATTTTAGTTCAACACTGCACATTCTAGAAAACAACCTAGAGCAGCTGCAAATATGCAGTCCCGTCTTTCTATAAAGTCTAGCCTCTGCTAGACATAACATTAGTAGTAATTACCATCTATTGCAGACCTACTATGTGCCGGGCATTGCATTAGGCATTTTACATAAATTGTTTTGTTCGGTCCTTCAACGATCCTGCATGGTATCATTATCTCTGTTTCAGGTGAGGACACTGAGGCCCAGAGACATTAAACTCATGGAGCAAGCAGTGAGAAGCCAGGGTTCAAAGCCAAGTCTGGCCTGGGCCAAGTTCATGCTCTTAAACATAAGACTAAGTGGATACATCTCACGGCATCAAGTACACACATGTTCTTGGACATGTATGTGTCCACATACATGCCCATGGTTGGATCAATTCACTCTTCAAAAGCTAAAAAAAAGAAACAAACTTCAAGTCATCCTTTCCATTCCAAAAATGTATTTTTCACTCAATCTGTGATATCCACCTACTTTTATAAATTATTTTAGAAAGCTTATTTAAAAAGACACAGGTAGCAAAAGTTTTAAAAGAAAAGAATAGAGAGATAATTATACCAAAGAACCTTAGGCTAAGGGAAGCTACTGCATACAAAGCATAGCTCTGAGCTTCCCGGCAACACAGGCAAAAAGAGAAAGGCAATGGATTTTACAGCTCTCAAATGAAATGAGGAAACATGCCTGGTCAATAAAAGAGAAGTATAATTTGCTAGTAAGGAACAGAGAAATTTGTTGGATAACTCTTGCAAAGATATGGAGCTAAATGTGTCTTCCTTTGTTTTACAGAAAATAAAGAGACGTTCTTACACCATTTATATATTCTAAACTTTTGACAGAAGGTGAAGACATTACGCTAAAGCAGAGACCTCTGAAGGTCCTTCCACGTGGAGCTAAAGTGAAGTAATCCAGGTGACCGACAGGTGGACCACTGCGACAGATGGCAGCATTCTAAACTGTGCCAGAGCCTGGGAACCGGGCCACTCTAGTACCAACTTCTCAAGTGTCCACTGCAGACGAGTGGGATGGCTCTTCTCTAGTCTTAACTGTTCGTGAAATGATGCTGCCAGCCTACGCTTCTTCAGAAGGGTTTGGGAAGACTGGCTTTCCATTTAGTGTTGAACACGTTATGGAAATTCTCAACACACCAAACCTGTTGTCAAAATAAACAAAAACTAAATTTCTACAAATTTCTTCATTTGAGAAAATAACATTAATAATTTCCAGATGTAGCTCCTACAGGCAGGACAATTAGCTATTTCTCCCCAAACTGCAGACCACTGTTTCAGCTCTCAAGCCCCCTACACCCCAGTCTGGCTTTCTCCCTAATAAACTGCAAGTCCAAGCCTCTCTCTTTGCTGCTGTGCTCGAGAAACGTACACGGTAGGCACAGCCTTGCACCGGCCCCTGCTATTAGCATCTTACCACAGAGGAAGCAGCTGCGACTGCCGAAGCATTTTTAAAACTGATCCCATGAGGGCTCAACCATAGGCCAGTCTCAACTTGAGTCACGGGGTTTGAAGGCAGAAAGGCCTGGTTTGGAGCCCCAGATGTGCGACTCACTGGCTTAGGGGACCAGGGTATGTTACATAAGCTCTCTGTGCCTCAGTTTTCTCATCACTAAAATGGGGGAAATCATACTTCCCTTGGCGTTGCTCTGAAGATTAGACATTATGAATGGCAAATGTGCCAAAGGACGGGGCACAGAGAAGGTACTCATGGCCATCGTTATTGCTCTGCCCTCTCTCCTTATCGGTCCCAGGCTTCCGCGGCCTGCAGACTGCTGAGAGTCATCCAGAGTGAGGAGGCGAGGACTCCGGACACAGGGCATTATCCCAGCCCTCTCCTTCCTTACTGGAACTTGGAGAATCGGAAAGGCTTCGACATAAATCAGACGTGTGCCCTTCTTCCACAACACACTGGACAACCACACTCCTTTGCCCTACTGTACTGCAAACCTACCCTCTACACCAGGGGATCTCCAAGTGTGGGCCCACATGAGCAGCATCCACATTACCTGGGAACTTGTCATAAATGCAGATTCTCAGGCCCCACTGACTCAGAAACTGAATCAGAAATCCTGGGGTGGGGCCCAGAGATCTGAGTTTTAGCAAGCCGTCCAGGACATTCCAATGCACCCTGAAGTTTCAGAATCACTGTTCTAGAATATACATTCATGGGCAGGGGTTTGTGCACTGCTATGTCCTCAGTGCTGGAATGATGTCCAACGCATAGTAGGTGCTCAACAAGTATCTATGAGTGAATGAATGAATGAATACATTAAACAATGAGTGAACATGTATGTGTCCTCTCCCAGAATGAGTTCCTTGAAGGTAGGGATGGAGACTGATGAACTTTTCAGCTCCAGAACTCATCCAACATTCATTGAGTCCCTACATTGACCGACACTGCGCTTGGGTGCTGGGGATACCAACTGGAGTTCCGATTCTCAAGAAGACTCAGCCAATTATTGTAAACAGACTTTAAACATAATTATACTAACATGTAATGGCACATGGCACAATAATGTTTATATTATGTTACATAAAAAAATCAAGATTCTAAACTTTATAGACACAGTATTATGACAATTATATAGTATTTCTATTTGCACGGAATTTTTCAAAATTTATCTAATAAGCATACATATTACTTTTATAACTGAAAAAAGTAAATATTCCAAAAATGTCTCATACAGGGTGATAAATGCAATAATGGATAGAAAGGTAAAGAAACGATAGGGATGAAAGTGATTATTTCTGCCTGAAGGGGAGTCTGAAAAAAGTGTCTCACGGAAGGTCAGAGCTGTAACAAATGAAATGGTGTAATGCAATAGGGAGAACTGGAATGTGTATGCTTCACCTTAAACATTCAAATTCAATTTCTTTTTTCAAAATACCATGCTAGACAAAACCTATTTGGGGACGAAATTTGTAGGAAGCTTTGAAGGATGAATAGGAGTTCACCAGATAGGTGAAAAAAAGGGAGAAGGGCAATGCAGGTAAAGAGAAGGAAGGATAAACACGGGCAAAAGCTTGATGGTGCACAACAGCTTGATGTATTGAGGAAACTTCTGGAAATATTTCTGAAACATGACATGAGAAGCCAGGAGTGCCCAGAAATGTAGTTGGACTGGAAATCACAAGGACCATATCACGGATGTCATTGGATACTATGCCAACAAAGGCTCTGACCTCACCCTGCGGGCCAGCATATCCCCAACTTTCCCACTATAGGAACCCCAAGAGCAGAGGAGAGTGGGGGTCTGAGCGCAAAGCACAAGATTTCTTTGAATGCTCATCTTGTATCTTAAACAATGAAAATTTTTATCTTGTACCATAGTATTGCATAGTATCAAAACTTTTAAAAAGATGCCAAAGTTAAATGGTAAAGATGCACTCCCCCCCACTCCGCAATTCCAAGCCGTCCAGGGAAGGTCATGTCTCAGGAATACGAAACATCTTTGTGTATAAATCTTTGTCTGCAGCAATACTTACTTCCTTCGGGTGGATTCCTGGAAGTGGAATTAACGGGTCAAGGGGTATTAACTTTTCAAAGGCTTGGGACAGGCTGCCAAACTGTTTACCAGAAAGGGTGAGTAGTCCTTTGTAACCAGAAGAACCGCATTTAGATTTTATATAGAACATTTGGCTACATCCTAGGGGCCTTGACACTTCCGGTTTTCTACCTTATTCTAGAATTTATAAGCACTCTCTTTTCTCTTTTCAGTGAAGTCATTTTTGACTGTGTTTGTCAAACTGAACCCTGTTTGTC